CTTATCGTTGTTCGGCGGCTGCATAGTTGTCCGGTTTTAAAAGCAGTTAGTCTGCCTTTGTAAAGCGCACTGCTCGCGTACATATAATAAACGCATATCTATTTTTTCATTCCTTTACGTTTCATTTAATTTATCGAAGATCTTTAGTAGTTAGAGATCACGCCGAATCATATGGACCTTCGCCCGGAACGTCTAGTGAATATCGGAAACGTGAAAGTGCGAAAATTTGCGTAACGAAAGTGCGTTATTAAGGTACGTGACTTAAACGTTGTATGTGCGTGTTCGTAAATAATTCTAACGCATCGAGTTAGAAAAGGGTTAATTTCTGCCCAACGTAGTTCGTAGCAGCAGCGATTGCTATACGCAGAATATAATAGTATTATTATATATTATTAACGTATTTTAATTTAAAGTTCGTATAAGTGCATTAGATATCGTCATAAGTATTGTGAAACAAATATAGTTAAGTGTAAAAAACCCGTGCGCAATATTTATAGTGTCTGCGTACAGCGGTTATTGTGGTACTATCGTTATTGTTGTACTTTGCTCAAATCACCACGAACGGTCTCTGACAGTTGATAGAGCGTACATATATATATACATATATATTAGTAACGGTCAGCTGAGGCGGTTGGTTTCTTTTGGAACAATTATTTAATATCGGTAAAAACCAACAAAACAAACTATGCCTGAAGATAATCGCAAAAATGAAATTACGCGATTAAGCATAAGGAGAGGTCAATTAAAATCAGCATTGACAACATTTTTAAAGTTTGTGCAAGACGAAAAATCGGACTTAATTGAAATTCGGCTTAGACGAAAAAAAATTGAAGAAGCATGGAGTGAGTACGACCAAGTACAGTTGGAAATCGACATGCTAGAAGGGATAAACGTAGAGGAACAGCAAAATTATAGAGCTGATTTTGAAGACTCATACTTTAAAGCCAGTACGATTGCGGAGAAGAGGCTATCTGAATTGAGTAGGGCAGTCAGCAACGCGTCAGACACTGTTGTAGGGAATACGGCGGCAATATCTTCAACCGTAGCGACACCAACAGTAGCAACGCCAGCTATTAGATTAGCCCCGCTAGATATCCCATCATTTCAAGGCGACTATAAGCAATGGACAACATTTTATGATATTTTTTCATACCAATGATGACCAATTGTCAGACATACAAAAATTTTTTATTTGAAAGCGGCTTTAAAAGACGATGCCAAACAGGCTGTTAATTGTTTGGAAATGACGGCGTCAAATTACGCAGTGGCATGGCGGACATTAATTGAAATGTATAACAATAAAAAAAAGTCTAATACAAGCCCATGTAAAAGCGTTATTTCACTTAGAGACGTTAACAGTAGAATCAGCAATTAAACTTCGAGCGTTTACAGATTCAATTAAAGGACACATGCAAGCATTAAGAACCCTTGATCAAGAGCCAGAGTCGTGGAGTCCTATGTTAACGTATTTAGTAACCACCAAGTTAGATAGAAGTTGTCTTCGAGCGTGGGAAACGGAATCGGCTCAGGACGCTCTTCCTACAATTATCGAATTGGTGGAATTTTCAGAAAAACGGTTTAAAATTTTAGAAGCGATTGAATCATCTAAAGCCATAAATCAGAGAAACGCCACAGCACCGGCTACCCATAGTCAAGATGTCAGAAAATCTATAAGCAATGCTCATGCGGTGACAAATTCGGACAAAAAATGCTTTAATTGTCACTCAAATCACTCGGTGTATCGATGTCCTAGTCTTTTGGCCTTGTCAGTAGTTGAACGCATTAAGCGCATTAATGAGCGCAATTTATGCAGGAATTGTCTACAGACACACCCTAAGAAAAAATGTTTGGCTCGAGGCTGTTTTAAGTGTGGCAAGCCACATAATACACTTTTACACTTAAGTGCACGGACCGATCAGTCAGAAAATTCGGAAAATAGCGAGTCGGAACAATTNTTTTACACTTAAGTGCACGGACCGATCAGTCAGAGTCCAACTCAGCAACAAACGTAACGGAAAATTCGGAAAATAGCGAGTCGGAACAAGTAGTTCAAAATGAATTAGTAACCGTTAGTGCACGTACTAGCTTACCGGCTGCTACGTCGATATTATTACAAACCGCAGCTGTTTTGGTCAAGAGTAATCGTGGTGAATGGGAGCAGTGTCGCGTGTTACTAGATTCTGCATCACAAAGTAACTTTATAACCGAACGTATGGCACAGATTTTGCGGTTACCGAAAACCCATATCGACCAAAGCGTCCAAGGAATTGGTGGAAACGTACAAAGGATTAAATCTCGAGTAATGGTTACAGCCAACTCCCGTTTAAATGACTATTCAGTAACATTGTCATGTTTAGTAGTTAAGGACATTACGAGTAACCTACCAGGCATCCGACTAAATGATAGCTGCGTGGTTCCGAAAGCTATAGTCTTAGCGGATCCGCGTTTCACCGTGCCACAGAAAATTGACCTATTAATAGGAGCGGGTAACTTCTATGATTTAATGTCTGCAGGTAAAATAAAGCCACGGCCAGGCGGTCCTGTATTTCAGGAAACAAAGTTCGGATGGGTGGTTGCCGGTTCATCGGGAAATCAACTCAATAGTATAAATCAACAAACGGCGGTTTTCCTCACGGTGAATGACAATTATAACCAATCACTAGAAAAGGTAGCTGAATGTGAATTCAGTAAGTATCCTGACGCGTGTCAATCATTCGTTAACGATTTTTATGATTGGTTAAGCGGTGCAATGAAACGGGCAGAGGATATAACATTACGAGACAATATTATTGCCGTAATGAAAGGTGCCGGTCTACATTTACGGAAATGGTCTTCCAACGATAACAGTTTAATAAGTAGTTTATTGCCTAACGAACACAATAAATATAGCGACGGTCCGCGTATTATCGATAACGACACGACGAAAATATTAGGCCTGTGTTGGGATCCGCCATCGGATTCATTTAAATATACATAATGAATAATAACGATATAACAAAGCGAACAATTTTATCGAATGTAGCCACAATTTTTGATCCCCTTGGTTTGCTCGGGCCTGTGTTAGTTGTTGCAAAAATTATCATGCAACGTGTGTGGTGCATTCAACTCAGTTGGGACGGTCCCCATTGGTCGAGGGACGAGTACGAGAAATGGCCGAAGTCACGTGTGCAATCAGTAGTACAAACAATATACCAGCAGCCAAAAATGCGGGCGAAACAACAATTACGACTGTTGCATGCGTAGCGAACGATAAATGTTATTCGTTGTTATCTAGAAGGTCGTCGTTATTATTTATCAACAGAGTGACGGCGTATTGTCTACGCTGGCGGTATAACATGAGTCGAGCAGTAGTAGGCGATAAAAATAATGGACCGTTAAAATTTTAACCGTTACAATTAAAAATTGTAATTTTAATAATTTCATTGGTTTTATCAGTTCGATCAACTTTATCAGCTTAAAAGTTGTAAAAATTAGATGTAATTAAAACTAATGATTCGTTAAAATTAAGTTTAAATAAAGTTTTTAATAATACACATAAAATAAAATACTATTATTACCAAAACATTTTTCTGTTTAATCAGATTGTGTTACATGTTACAAACGGCGCGTCACGTCATAATAATTTGCACATATTTTTTATAAGTTTCACAGTGAATTAATTGCAGTTTTGTTTTAATTTAAAAGTTGTAAAAATTATTCTATTATTTTTAAATAATGGATAATCAAGTAGTATGTGGTAAGTGTTAACAATAATAAACTATATTAACAATAATATAATAGTATTTCTAAAATAAAACAATATTTAGTGGCACAGTAAAATTGTATAACTTATTTTATTTTATTTTATGTATATTATTAAAAACTTTATTTAAACTTAATTTTAACGAATCATTAGTTTTAATTACATCTAATTTTTACAACTTTTAAGCTGATAAAGTTGATCGAACTGATAAAACCAATGAAATTATTAAAATTACAATTTTTACAAAAATACACGTTTATTATAGGGAAATTCTATGTGCAGGGCTCAAATGCAATCTGACGCAAAATTTTTTTTTTTGTAATTGTAGCTTAAGAGTTCTTCTACAACATGCATGTATTGGTGTAATCGTAATATTGCGTAATTTTGAGTTAAACTCTTTAAAAAACAATGTAAAATAAGTATTTGCATTTTTTTGTGTGTAAAAAATTATTAAAATTAAAAAAAAAAAGAAATAAAAATTTTTTCTTAGTAAATTTGAAAGCCGATGACTTTTTAAACATTTTAAATTAAAAAAAAAAAATTAAGGTTTTTAATTAAGCAGGAAAAAATGATTGAAGAAATAATAAAAATCCTAGAAAAAAAACAAAAAAATACAGTGTTATGATATTTAAATAGCACCCAACCATTACTATATCAACTTTTGGCCTTGAATTTTTGTACATGACCTTATAAGGATATAATAAAAAAAATTTGCTAAAAAAAAAATTTTTATTAGTTGATTTAAAAATGGTACTTTTGGCCGGCTAAATCAGCGTTTGGTCCCACTGTGCGGTGTGTTTAGGCCTACACAATAAGTGTAGCTATTGTTGTTTCATCTTATCGTTGTTCGGCGGCTACATAGTTGTCCGGTTTTAAAAGCAGTTAGTCTGCCTTTGTAAAGGGCACTGCTCGCGTACATATAATAAACGCATATCTATTTTTTCATTCCTTTACGTTTCATTTAATTTATCGAAGATCTTTAGTAGTTAGAGATCACGCCGAAACAACGTGTTATTTAATAACATTATAATATTGTGATTTTTACTATAAAAAGTATTATGAAATAGAAATGTACATTTTTAAATTTTTTGTAGTTACATTCTTGACTGATTTGTTTGAATAATACAACAGAAACTATAGATCCTGATATTCAATGAATTTTATACATTTGCCAATAGTTTATTAAAATTAACATGTTTAATAATATCATAATTTATTTTAATACATCTTAGTATATTTATATATTAATATATCTTACCAATTGATGGACGGAAAATTCCTACTGGTAGTCTTTTACCATAAGTTTCAACCAAATTTTCAGCCATAGCTTTTGTAAATGTGTAAGTGTTGGGCCAGAATTTCTGTATTCTGTTAATCAATAATGCAAAAAATTATAAAATAAAATATAATTTTATAGATTATATTTTCTTTATAAAATATTGCATGTTACTTTGTATTAATGAAATTATACTGAAAAAATATTTACTCTATTTCTTCGTTACTATTTTTTACATGGAGTTTTAAATCTTCTGTGGTTATTTCTATGGGATAAAATTCTTCATCGATTTCTTGTCTTGGGCAGTGTGAATATGCAGTAGATACGTGAATAAACCCCTAAAAAATAATTATCATTGTTTATTTTTTTATTCAATGTGAAATAATCAATTACTTTCAATGCATTAGAAAAGGAAAATATAAATTTTACAGGAATACATCAATTATAGCAAAATAGGAACAATAAAAGTTAAAATAGTTTTTTAATAATTAGTTTTTGGATTGAATTGAATATTATGGCGATATTCCAAGTACATAAATTTACTAGTTATCAAACTAGAGCACTAGATAGTAAATAATCTTAATCACATTTTTATACTTATCGTATCGTAGTTTACATGGGAGTTATATGGCGACTTAAATCCCGAATAGATATAGACACATCTATAAACCCTACCCTTTTAAGTACAAAAGTTATATAATCAAAATAAAATTGCATATTCTAATGTAGTAATGGTTCAATTATTGTGTAACAACAATAATGATTTTGAATATAATACATGTTTACCCAATTTTTAAACAAAATGCTTTAACCTTAGTGCAATTACAGAATATTACACTATGTATTTATATACAAGTTAAGGAAACAACTGTAATTTTTAATTTTAATTAATTGCTACAAATTATTATAACGATGATAATTGTTAAAACCAAAATGAATTATATGTCATTGTTAAATTTAATTATTTTACTACCGTTTACAATAATTTCGAATTATATTTTATAAAAGAAAGTTTAAACATGTAAGACCAACATTATTACATAGAAAATGATTAATTTTTTAATAATAAAATTGTTGGCATAACTTATTATAACAATTTCAAAGATATTTGATTAGTAAATTAAATTACACATACTAACGCATAAAATATAAAATATGTGTAAATATAGACGCCTGAGGTAAAATAATTAACAAGTGTAACATTATGCAATATCACTTGTTCATTTTTGACACGATCGAATAATGAGCTATTTTTAACATTTAAGTTTTAGTATTGTAATTAGTTTTGGTTTATTTCAGAAATTATAACTGGATTTTTAATTGTAAAAATAATACTAATAAAATTTGTTTAATATTTTTGTAAATTTAATCTAATTGGAAATTAAAAAAAAAATTCTTTAATAATCAAAAAATAAATTATTTCAATCTTAAAGTATACGAAGCTAATTTTTATTTTGCATAGATTATATAATGGGTTGAAAAAATTTTAAATATCAGTTTTAGTTCCCTTAAATTATGCAAGAACAATGTAACTAGTATGTATTTTTTGAGCATTTGTTGAATATCTTATTAATTCCAATTTTTTTTTCAATTTCATTTGTTAATATTTGTATAAGTAATTACTTTTAAATTTTTCATTTGAGTTGCAATGTTCAATAGCCGTTCCGTTCCTTCTACATTAATTTGTGTTGCTTTTTTTATATGTTCATCAAATTTCAATGTAGCAGCACAATGGAAAATGAAATTGACATTATTCACTATCCATTCCAAATTATTTTGAGATAAATTTAATAACGGAGATTGTAAATCTCCATTAAAAACTTTTATTTTTCTCATGAAATCAGGATTTTCTTTCCGTAGTCGGTCGAATACCTTAAAAAAATAATATGGAAGGTTGATGCGGATAATAAGGCTTAACTTGTTTTAGGTTCATCTAAGTATTTAATAGCTTAGTCTGTATTAGGATTTTTATAAGACCTAGCTATGCCTAATGTAAGCTAGGTCTATTATCTAATTTATTATCTAAAATATTGGAACATATTTTTTTTTTATATTCTTATAAAACTTACATTAAGTTTACATCAAAAAAATTGTTTTTCTTTATATGTTGATGTAATTAATAGAAAAGATACCATTATTATTTATTCTATCTTAAATGTATATCATACTTAATTCTGGCTTGGTCTTCAAAAAAAAAAAAATTGTGAAAATTAATACCCTAATTATTCAATCATTATATTTTATTAAGTAATTAAGTTAGTGATATTTATTATTTATTTTAAATACCTAATAAAAATGTTTGTTTTTGGGTGTCAATAATTGTAAACAATAACTTACGGTTCCTTCATACGTTTCCAAAGCTCTATTATCCGCACTCGAGTTTTTTTTACTTCTTATTATTACAACGATATTTGTTATTCCAGGACATGTTCTAAGCAATTTTTCCATCAATAATTTTCCTAAAAATCCTGTACTTCCAGTGATTAATATAGTGTTACTGTTAAAAGTATCAACTATATTCGATTTCATTGTATAGATTGAAATTATTGAATCTAATCAGGATAATTTGTTTGAACAATTCGACTGCTACGTTTCCATGCGAATGAATTTATTATCTAAATTCGTACTCTTTAAAATATTCAAACCCCACTCTTTTTCATGGAAGTTTAAATGACAGTACGTATGGCTGCAGTTAAATTGATTTTCTTGGCTTATACAAATTTCGAGTTTCGTTCTTTATTTATTAATACAAGTTTTTGGATCTTTTAAATTTCTTGGAAAAATGTATGCCTTTACCCAAGGGAAAAGATCACCAAATGGACATTTAATTGCACAAGAGAATTTCTATAAGGCTTTTATTTTGTTGGAAGTACATGCATTAATTGATTTTTAACTACAAAAAGAGCACATTTTTCATACTAATTGCAAACACTTGAATACATTTCGTAAATGCTGTAATAAAATGAAAGGGTATAGGAAAAATAAAACGTCGATTATAATTCATTAGTTTCATCATTTGGTGATCTTCGACTTGTTATGAACTACAACCAAAGATTTTATGTTCTAGTATTTAAAAATAAAGTTATATAACCGTCGTTTTATTAATTTTAAGGCTACCTATTAAAAAATATTATATTTGAAAAGCAATAATTATTTTTAAAAAAATACATAAAATAAAATAAAAATATCTTTCAAAGAATTTGTTAAAAGAATAATCACGTTACGAAGATAAATACTAAGAGATTAGTATTGAAATTATTATGATTTGAAGCATTTTAATATTGATCTTCAAGGAGAACCACATTGATTTAAAGGAGTTTTTGACATTACATACAACATACAAAGATAAATTCGTAAAATTCAGTTTTCATTACTGGATATTGTAAAAGCATTATTTCAATTTTTTTTTTAACTAAAGTGTCTCATAACTGCACATTTGTAACTTCGATGCTATGTTGAGAAAGTTGGGTTGGTTATGTGTTTTTTTACCATTGTTTTGAAATGGTTTCAAATTTATTTGAAAAAAATATTTAAATTTTAAATTATCTCCAACTATATTTGACTTATCTCGTTTGTACTAGGTATCAAAAAATGTTCTAGTTAAATTTTTTTTTTCATTTTTTTATCCATATACTTTAAGTTAAACAGTGTAAGCATGTAGAGCGACATTAATACCCCATTTAACCCAACACCTTAAACCTAAAATTTAAGTATTATAAATATTTATAGAGAAAATTTTTTCAGTTTTTAATGTCTATTAAAAATGTATATTAAAAAAAGGGGGTTCCTTTATCAAATAATATGTTATAGCTACCAATGGTTGATGATAAATTAGAATTTTATAACTGAAATTATAACCGATTAGAATAACCGATTTTTCTTTTTTAATAATTTCTCCGTAGTACTTCAATACAAAATTATTGAATATTGATTTCATAATAAATTTAATTCCTATAATAGGTACTGACTCAAGTATAAATGATAAAACTTGTAATCAGGATATAATGAAGGAGATAAGAGTTGTTGATCTTAAAATAATCCAATTATTTCTTCTGAAAATTAAACAATATTTTATATATTTGCATTAATGTGTGTTTTATGGAAGTGATTTTAATCACTTTAAGATAAAATCTACACTTGTCCCAACTGTACCACACCTCCACTGTGCTAGATTTTTAACTAAAAATATTCTTTGGAAAATGAAAATATTTTAATATTTTGGTTATACATACATATTCTATGTATACTGTCATATGCCTTCCTTAATCTACTAGTAAAATTTCCTTTCTCATACTTATTTTATTACATGCATCAACACTTCCCTTTCCAAGTAGTATTCTACTAGTTACTTTTTGTTTTTGAATCTTTTAATTTTCTCCTATGATATGGCTGAATAGGATCATTATTGAGTTTCTTGTAAGCATATGTAAATGCATCTATCGGTTCTTCATCATTAAATAATTTTTCGTAATACTCTATCAATATCTTAATTTTTTATTCTTGATTCGTTACTAGGGTTCTATCATTATTTTTCAAAATTTTTCAATATTTTTGCCATTTTTTCTGTAAAAAAAAAAATAATTATTGTTTTATTATCTGAAAATCTTCCAACCTTGTTAATTCCAATGATATTTTATAACGTATGGGTAGTGTAAATATGGAGATTGTAGGCAATACGACTAGTTATACAAGCAGAAATCCTACGCTAATCGCGGATTAGAATATATACTATTCAATATTATAATGGCATTGTTTTCAATATATTTTTTTAAAAAACTTTTGAAGGTTATTGGGATTTTATAATTTAAAATTTTATTTTGTCTTATATTATTAATTAATTTTTATTTCACTTTAATTCGTTTTCCTCAATTTTTCAAAACCTTGAATTATCTATCTAATTTATTTTATTTGTTTATTGATTTATTAATACCATCTCCAAACATAATTCTTAATATTTATTAAGTAAACAATTTTATTGTTTTTTACTTTAAAAAAAAGTATTCAATCTTCGTTTGGTGCTGTTGCCTAAAATTAGTGTACTATTTCTAATAACTTCGAAAACCCATTGATTGAGTAGAATAATTATAAACTATTTCATTAATAACACGTAAATTATAAATTGAGATAAAATAGATGATGGCTAACTAAATAAAATAGTATATCTTTGTCATTTTTTTAATATTCAAAAATTGTCCAACAAATGAGTGTAATGGTGTAAAATCACTATAATGCTGAGAACCAAAAACAATTTCATAGTATTCTAAAATATTCTATGTACTTACACAAATAACTGTGTAAATTGATATTACTATATATATTGTAATTGATATTATTGATAAATTTTAAAGCACCAAAATATTTAATAATGTATTTTTTATTTTATGTGTAGTGTAAGAATTGTATAATTTGTCGTTTTGCTTATTATCTTTGTACTTAAATCACTCCCACAAGTTAAAAATTATAAATTATCTCATTGAAATTAATAACGTTGGAAATCCTTTAAATCGATATTAAACTAACAATGCATTAATTTTTTGTGTAATCTGTAGATGTACTATATTGAAAAAAAGTTTTTTAGACATGAAATTTGTAAGAGGTGTACTTTGCGCTACTAATGAAATGTATTTTTATTTTAAAAATATTAACTCATAGCTTATAAGCCCCAATATTGAAAAACATTGAAGGATCCTTTCCAATTGACGCGCAAAAAAGTAGAAGAAGCGGATTAAGTATAGCTGCCATACCAACAGGAGGCCACGGAAGCAATAATTTTTAAATACGCCCATATAGAACTATAAATTTTAATAATAAATTAATCTTGAAAACATTTTCAAATTACAATAAACATTGTATTTTTTATCTTTTAATTATTTTATAAAAATTTGTTATTTTATGTAATCTACTACATTTTTAACGCTAATAATTTTATTTAAATCTATTACTTTTTAAAATAGAAATATACAAAACTATTATAGGTGACATATTAATATTTAGCACATAATGTGTAAAGAAACATAACTTTACTTAATATTAATTAAGTCTTCAATAAGTTTGTCTGTATTTAAAGTATTTCACAATGTATGTTCGATTAATAAAATAGCCAAATCAGATATTCGATTTTGTCCCATTGTCGATCTTAAATAGTTTTTAATAAGTTTTAACTTACTGAATGATCTTTCACACGTCACCGCAGTTATTGACAAAGTCAAAAATATACGTAATGCTATTTCTACGTTTAGATATTCAGCACCTAAAGAATATTTTGTAATTAATTGAAGGAGGTCTAATTAAGGTGCTGCAACTCTTAAGTCGGGTAAAAGAGATAATACTTGAGACTCAAAATCTTTTATTTCAGAAATAAATTCGGTAGCATTTAGATCGACTTAAGGGATAGGCCAATTAAACATTTTTGTATATAGTCAAATGAGTTATCCATTAAGCTATTACCATATAAAAATTCAAAATCTTCAGCAATTTCAAACATTTTTTCGAATCTATTTTTTAGTTCAGTAAGAATTCGGCCATAAACTTCACATATATAATTTTTGAATTCACTTTGTTGAGATAAAACTTGCATATCATCTTCAATTAATTCAAAGTCTAATTTTATTGCTTTCCCTTTTCGTTTATTAGAAAATTTTGCTTTAATACCGAGATCATTAGCTAACACTTTTCCGTATTCAATTGAGTTATAATACTCAGAAAAAAAATCTTACATTATATTTATAGATTTATAAATGAGCATTGAGATGGTAGGGCGATAACGATAATATTTTCTATTAATTATATGCATAGGTACTATATTTTACAGCCCAGTATTTCACCAAATTGTTCCTTCGACATCCGGGTCGATCGATAATAATATCCAGTTCTACAAATTTTTGTAAGTATAAAAATATTATTAGAAAAAGTCAACTAAATACAATTTTCGACCAATTAACCAAAGTACTAATAAACCTAAATGACATTGAAGATGTACGCAAAACATAACAGATATCACAATTTTTAACAAAAATTAATCATTTTACGATTTTGCGCCCGGGGCGTAGGCACCGCTGCCTCCCCTTGCTACGGCCCTGTTAATATCATAAAGTATAGTAAAACACAACTTTTTACAAAATTAATAATGCTTATACTCATAGTGAAGACATAAATAGGAATACTGAGATCTATTTTAGATAAAAAAAAAACTTAATCAGAAAAAAATTTCTTCATTTTTCAACTGGGGTTAGTTTCCGGATAATCACAACATTTATTGTAAGACCCAAAAGATTTCAGAGATGTCGTAATATGCACAATGCTCTGCATTACGCATCTTACATTTATCAATATTTAATATTTAATTAATAATATAATTATATTTAATATATCAATATTTAATACCAATTGTATACAAACAAGTAATTAATTTATCTGTCATAACATATATAAATTTGTACACTAGCTATTATATATGTATATACATGTTAAATTGATTATTGTATACTGCATAGTATACAATAATAGTGATAAGATATGCATCTTGTCTTAAAATAATTATCATGTTATGTTCAAATTTTATACAATAAACTGAAAATCACTAAAAGCGCTGACGGCAACAACCCATGATGGGGGTAATTAAAAATAATATAAAAAAGCACTGATTTTCTAAGAGCCTCTCAGATATATATTTTTGAAGATCTGAATTCAATAAGGAATTCAGAATTCTTCTAACTCATTTATTGATCAAACTAGCCGTGACCCCATGTTGTCGTCGGTATATTTTATAGCGATATTAAGTACAATTATTTTTGCGTCAATACGTTATTTATTTATTAAAAAGGAAAAGTATAAATCTGAACGTGAGTTATATAAAAGAAGTAAATTTATATTAACCCAATTATTTAGAATTAATAATCTGAGTAAAGAATGGTAAAGCAATAGATTTTTTAAACATCATTTAATTTAATTATTAATAACTAGTTAGTGCTTGGTCATATACTTCAACTAGGTGTCTGAGTGGAGACCTCCGCCACTCCATGAACGCCTCAGTATTTCTACTAAAGCACATACCAGTTAACATCACGCTTCGACTGGGTGTCAGATAGGAGGCCAAGACCCCGGCCACTACAAGAATACCTCAGCGTTTTAATATCTCTATGAGAGGAACTTAATACATATCTTTTTATATCTACTTGTCTTTACTGTTCTAAACCCTCGGACTCTACAACCCCGATAGAACCTCGTTGCTCCTGAATTGACCAAATCCCCAAATATCCAACTTTGGTCATAAAATACCCCAACAACACATTTTTGCTTATTTTTGTATTGCTACAGAGATGTCAGGAAATATGATAGCAAATAATAAAATATCGGTTATAGTTATTAAGTCAGATTACAATTTAATTATTATAATAATTAAATGCTATTATAATTATTTATTTTCTTTTGTCTATATTATGAAATGAATATAACAAATATAAAAAAATAAATAATGTTGGGTGTCCCCCACTTATACTAATATTATAACAGCTAACTAACAATTAAATAAAAGTATATACTACAATCTGACCTTGTGTTCCTTGATATTTACCGCGGTCCAAGCACTGAGTCATTTTAACACAAAGATCCCGCAAACTATTTAGTTCCGATCGTTGACATCTATATTGCATAAATTAACTCCTCGGGTGTAGATAATGACAACAACTTACAACTTAAATCAAGACTTTACTTAATCTTAAACTACACGTCTAGCAACAACAAAAGACATGACCACCTACGACTGGTCAGCCAAAATTTTCAAAAAATCACTTAACTCTCGATCACCAGATATCCGAAACGTATACTTCAGTCTTAAAACAGAACAAATCCACAACAACGAACACGCTAGTGACACTGCCAATGATTCCAATATTGATACTAATTTGGAACACGCATTCTGGTGCAACAGGTCGTCAGACCAACTGTATGAGGGTGAGAAAATATAAAATATTTTTATTAATATATTTTTTTTAAATATTTGGCGAAAAATAGTTTTTTCACTTGAGGGATGCTCTATTTTCAAAGATAATAAATATAATGATCCCTAACTTACAAGTTTATTCAAATATGTTATAAATTTAATACAATGGATATGGAGAAGATATAATTTTAAAAGAATCGACTAAGCTTTGTAAATGGTAATAATTGTAAATGGTGACGGTGTGCCCGAGTCAGTAACGCGGCAGTGCTTGACGCGCACTGTCTCAGGTTCGAAACTCGGTCACGGGCTGCTTCATTTGCCAAATGAGAGATAAGTTCGGTAAATGGCGACTCCATCCCACTCTCCGGCGATGGACTAACCACTGGTCCCGGAGTATAAATGGTTAAGAAACCTCCTCTTTTAGGGGAGGCCGCTATGACCCTAAATGGGTTAATAAAAGCGCATATAAAAAAAAATAAATAACCAATATCCAATGGCTTTCAGAAATTACAAACTACTATGTTTTCATATCCTGAAATTAATTGTACCTCAAAATTTCATCTATATGTCCTTCAAGTGATTAAAAGATTCGATAAAAGATTAATTATAGTCAATGAAATGTATGGCTTTCAAACCAGTTCTTTTAATGTACTTGTATGCAACTATAATTTTTAAGACATTTGTAGCCTTTAACCTTGAAGATTCCGTTAAGGTTAACTAGCTGTAATTTTTTGTTATTATAATATAATATAATGTATCTACTTACCTTAATTTACAGGGACATTATTGGTAGCAATTAATGTTTAACCGGATCTATTAAGTAGTGTTATAATAATTTTACTAATCAAATCGATAGTTTGACCGAAAAATGTAATGCTTAAATACAAAACTAGAATCTGACTTTATATCTATAGAAATTTATTACGACAAACGAGTATATTTACTATATATTATATACATTTATTACGAATCGAGCTAGTAACCCCCTTGATGTCACATAAACAATAATTTACAATTACTCATTAGCCTAAGTTACATTATGATACGTGGTATAATTAGGATAGCCACTTAGATGGTTTACTACCTAACTCAATCGGTAAAACGTCGTGCCTCAGTGCGTTTAGAGAGAACGTTAAACTAAGTTCAAAAAAAATATAATTAAATATTTTTTATCTCTTTTCTTACGAAAAACTTTGATAGGTCAATAACAATTAAAGAGCAAATACCTAATGATTTACAAGCGTTTTACTACATAGATAAAGTGGATATGGAACGTGTGCGGAATATACGTACATCAGTACGAGCTGCACCCTCACCCTTTCTAAATAATTTCTCTATATATTAAAATTCTTGTAACTTTTGATACAATTATCATTTTGTTGAAATTTTTTTTTTTTAAATAATTATTGCATTCCTAATCTACATTAAAAGCATATTTTTTTATTATTTATTACTAACAAAAACAAATAAAAAAAAAACAACATATATTTTATTATTTATTTTTATTGATAATAAAGAAAAAATTTTCAAAAAATGATAATTGTATCAAAAGTTATTATTTAGCAAGAATTTTTGCAATTAATATTGTAAAAAATACAGAAAAATGTATTGTGTTATAAAAAATAAATTATTCATCTTGAAACAATTGTATAACGCAAAAATAAATAACTCGTACTAACATTTTGTGTTGCGAGTTTACATATAATTTTTTGTTATGGTTCATTTCAAATTTTAATGGGTTTTCCATGATGAATAACGTAAAAATCCTATTAAATTAGTTTTACTTATTGGTTTTTTTTAATTAAAAGTGGTATTTTCAGCAATTATAATGATTTGTATAATATGTAGTCATGAGTTACAATGTAGTTTGATAACTCAATGTGTATGATGTATTCTTATCAATTAGGCAATAGATAAGATTATAACAACAACGTGGTTGATTATCGAACTTCTTTAAATTTAATTTTCTGATAAATATAACTTTTTCCTATTTAATTAATAGTATTTTTACATCATATATCACTTTAATCATAAAATTATTTTTTGAAAATGAATACTGAAAACGGATCTAATATTTTAGATGTGAAACCTGTAGAGGTAAAATCCGTTCAGCAAGTTGAACTTGATCCCTTTGCATATTTAGAAAGAAATGATTTTACATCAGAAAAATTTAAATTAGAAGTACGAAATCTTCCTAAATATTATGGAATTGTTGTAAGACAAATTAATTTCAATGGTTAGGTTATATCTTAACCTGTTTTATTTTGATATTTAAGGAATTTAAAAAATTAATCAACCAACAATTAAAATTAAATAGTGTTAAGGTAAAAACTCCAACTCGTAATGGGAAGTGGTTATATGTTTGTTTTCATTCAGACGAAGAAAAAATATCTGCGTTGAATGTTTTAAATGGATATAGTTGGAAAAATACTGTTCTTGAAGTTAGCGTATGTGAATAAAGTTTTTACATTTTATTTATTTTATAAGATTATGCTTTCAGTTGTATGTTAACAGGAAGCTAAGGCTGTTCCAGATCCTTTAGTTAAAAAACGCAATGAGCAATTTGAAAATAATGCTCCTGATACTAAAAAACCTAAACTATGTAATGTAGAAGCAGAAAAACAGATGATAGAAAATGTTACACCTTTACATCATCTTCCTTATGAAGAACAAGTAACAATAAATTAATCATTCAATTTTTTTTTTTAATAATATGACTAAAATAAATTAATGTCTATTATATTTAAATTTATTAATTGTAGCATTAATTGTCTTGAATTGTTACACAACATTAATTCCAAAGTACCTTATTTTAATACTTGAAGTCATTTATTGTTTTATTTAGAGCCTCTATGTGAACATTTTTTTATAAATAGTCCAATGAATCATACTTTAAATTTATGTAATGGTGTGTGTAATTTTTTTGATTTCTGATTTGATAACAGTTTCAAGTTAAAAAATTATGTTTTTAATTGTTAGAAATAATTATTGTACCATGTATAAAATATTTTGTGATTTTGTACTCTTGCTTGTGTGAAGGTAAACATCATATAAATAATTATATATATAAAGTTGTTAAATAAATTTTAAAAATATTTTTACACGGATATTAATATTAATTCTAATTTTTTAGCTAACACAAAAAGAAAAATGCATGAGAAACATTTTATTAGATTATAACAAAAGATTACCTCGAGCAAATAGAGGACTATTAGGTTGGCTAAGAAAGCAACAATCAAATACTAACGGTCTACCATGTGAATTACTTAAAATACAAAGTCTTAAAGAAGACGTAAAAAAATGTGTTGGTTATAGAAACAAATGTGAATTCACTATAGGTATTTTTCAAATTGGTCAATACATTATTATTTCAATTATGTTATAAATTTAAAAATTTAATGAATATTTTTATTACCAATTTTTGAAGTTTTCAAATTGTAATTATTAAAATTAATTAAACAACATTTCATGTTTAAACTAGATTCATATAATTTTTACATTTTTATTATTTGGTGTATAATTTATCCCTATATGAGTTAATATAAAATGGACTAATAAAAATTTATTAATACATATTATAGGTATGGACATTGAAAATAAAGAACCTGTTGTAGGTTTTCGTATTGGTACTTATGTTCAAGGAAAAACTTGTGTAGCACCCATTGATAATGTGTCCAATGTTCCTGAACAAATGAAAGTAGCTGTTAAAGTAATATTAGAATTAAAGTTTGACCATTATTTATTTTATATTACGAGTGAAAAGAATAAATAAGTTTACATCTAGCTATTTTTTTTCAGGTTTTTCAAAATTTTATAAGAAAATCTAATATTACTGTATTTAATCCAGAAACATATACTGGTCATTGTCGTCAATTAACTGTGCGACTAAGCTTAAAAACTGAACAGTTAATGTTAATATGTGTAGTTCATACAGAAAATATGGAGGAAAATATTGTTGAAACATTAAAAAAGCAAATTATAGATTATTACACTGAAGGAGAAGGAAAATTTTGTAAGGTAGATTCCTTATTTTTTCAAAAAGCAAAAAAAAGAGTGTAAGTAATATATAATTTTAAAAAATAATTATAAAATAATTCAGTCTATCAAGCTAAATTTGAAAATTTTCAGAGCTGGTGAAGGAAATTTATTTCCTTTAGAATTATTGAAAGGTCAAGAATATATTGTTGAAGAAATGAACGGTCTTAAATTCAGAATATCACCTGAATCATTTTTTCAAGTTAATACTGCTGCTTCTGAAATTTTGATTCAATCAGTAAAAGAATTAGCATTAATAAATTCAAAAACTACAGTTTTAGATATATGTTGTGGGACTGGTACTATAGGTTTATCTTTAGCAAAGGTAGTATTTTAAGTATTTATCTTCTTCTTTTTCCTCTCCTTAATCCCAACAACTTGGGGTCGCCCACTCTTATCCTAAACTTCCATTTAACACGATCACCCACATCATTTACGCTTACATTGGCTGTCCTCATATCACATTCAATAACTCCCTCCATCAATTATTTGGTCTTCCTCTACCTCTTCTTCCTTCAACATACATTTCTATAAATATTCTTACAGCTTCCGATTCCTCTCACGTCATAACATGACTAAACCATTTATTTTCTCTCATCTTATTTACTATTGATACTCTACTTATATGTTTGTTCCTTATTATATCTTCCTCGTCAATATCACAGCTCTTTTGCACAACTGATCCTAAATACTTAAAACTTTCCACCTCTCCTTTCATGTTCCCACTTATTGTCACTGATCTCCTCATTTCACTTACCTCTTGTTTTCCTTTGTCATACTGAAACTAGTTTGAGTATTAAAATTTTTAATTTAGATTTGAATTTTATTTTGTAATTCAAACTAAGAAATCATATTGTAGGATTGTGCTCGTGTTATTGGTGTTGAAATATTAGAAGAAGCCGTGAATATGGCAAAGTTAAATGCCATTGAAAATAACATAAAAAATGTTCAATTTTTCTGTGGAAAAGCTGAAGAAGTAATGAACAGACGTGAATTTCAGTATCCCGAAAATGTGGATGATTTGGTTGCAATTGTTGATCCACCTAGAGCTGGTTTACGTATGTATCATTTATAAGAATATTTGATTATGATACTTATTAATATTTCTTACATTTATTATAGATAATAAAGCTATAGAATTATTAAGGAGAATGAAAAATTTAAAAAGACTTGTATATATTTCTTGTAATCCAAAAGCTGCTCTACAAAATTTTATAACTTTAGCTATGCCAGAATCAAAAACAAAATATGGCGCTCCATTCATACCTATTAAAGCTATTCCAGTTGATATGTTTCCTCAAACACCCCATTGTGAACTTATAGTATATTTTGAAAGGTACACTGAGAATAATGAAAACAATGGCTAATCAGTTGTAATTATTAATATATATTTTTAAATCTAATAAAACATTTAAATTTATAATTGGTCTCTTTTTTTGTAAAACAATTTATTTTGTCTTAATTTCTAAAAAATTATATCATTATATTATGTAATTAAGAATATAAAATTTAAATAAATATATTTATTACTACTTAAGGGATAATAATATTCATTGATTGTCAAAATTGTAATCATACAATACTGAAAAGTACAATCATCAGTTTAAATAGAACATAAACCATAAACAACGTAAAAAATTTATGTAACCAGTATAATCTGAAAAATAAATCTCATTATAATAAAAATTAAATGCACTACTATGTTATATGTATTTACAAAAATTAAAATGCTGTTAAATACATTTAATAATCATAGAATATGATAACCTTTTAAATAATTTCAACACGAAAATATTGTCTAATGTAATAATTATAGTACAAATACTACAGTTTAAATTAATATACCTTTTGTGCTTTTTTATTGCATCTGGGATATTGTCTTTATTTTCATGTAATATATTACTTCTTATTCCTAAATAAAATGTTGATATATAGGAATCCCAATTGAAATTTTGCATATTGAAGGAGAATAACTCTTGATCCTTTTTACTTAAAGAAGACCAAAGTTTTTGTATATTATTATTTTTGAAATTCCATTCTGCTGTACTAAATGGTCGTAATACATTCATCATTTTTCGTGCTTTTTTATATTGTTTGCAGAATCTTAAAAAAATAAAATGTTATTTCAAAAGCTAATTTAATGAAAAATAAAATGTATTGCATGATTAAAAAATAAGCATAGAAAATACAGATTTGATAAAAACAATTTGAATATTTACAAAAATGTATTCTTTCATAAAATTAAAACGAGTTTATCGATAACACGAACAAAAAAGTTAGTTAATAGAAATGATGTTTGCTATTTAAAAATATGTTTAATTGAACCTACAATTTTTAAATTGAAAATCCAAAAAAAATTTTGATTGAAAAAAGATGTTATGATGTTAAATTCATTACACAATTAATAATATGGTAATTAATTAAAAAGTACACCTAGCATGTGCTACTAGACAAGTACTGATCGTATACGTTTATACCTCGCATTTTTTCCAGTCAATAAAATCATAAAATCAAATATAATTCCAGGTATCCAATGTAAGATTAACCATAAAAACTCGCCTAACCAAACGTTGGTGTAAGTAAAAGTTGATCCGTACCATACAGCACACAATGGGGGGGTTAACTTGTAGATTGGTCTTATTGAACACATAAAACTAGCCCATGTTAATGGGCTTTCACAAGAAGAAACATAATTATATATTTTTGGTTCTTCATTGGCAGTGTTTTGATACCTATGTATAAATATAAAATTAATTAATACTTAAACTCGCTGTATGAGTCAAGCACCTATAGCCTAATTTTCAAATGATATTTAGAATGTACAATTAGTATATAATATTTATCGACTCTCATTAAAATATGTATTCGCCCAGCAGTAAAATATTAAGTACACATATACGAGTTAATTGATTTATCTTTGATCTCTGAATATCTAAAATTATTAACAATTAAACATTTTTTTTTTGTTCATTAGTTTATATTTCTTTTTTTTTTAATGGTTAAATATTGTTATGTATATTCTTTATCCATTATAAGGGTACCAATTTTATTTTTTTTAATTGCAACATACATATTAAACTAGTTCATATAATAGAAAATATAATTATTTTTGAATTAATATTTCGTATGTTATAAAAAAAATGGTCTTCAAAAAAATAAAGTTGATAAATTAGGTGTTCGAAGTCCAATTTGACCACGCGGATAAATGTCTTCGGGAAGAGTTAAAATAATAATCAGTAGTTGATGCTTTTTTATTAGGAATAATGTCGTTAAAAATTATAAATATAATTAACATAGAATTTACAGTATTAATGATTACTTTCTAAATATTAGTATACATTTTCTAATAGTTACATAATAAAAATAATAAATTTAAAATGGGTTTACGAGACCCCAATAAGGGATTGACTTAAAAATTATTTAATTACTCAAAAATCAAGAAATAAATACTACCTAAATAAGTAAAAAAATTCTCTAAATTATTGCACCGACAATATTTTTTTTTTAAATAATGTTATGAAAATGTTTTTATAATATTATTTTTTTAAATTGCTTCCTGGATATTATTTTAGAAAAAAATTAGTGGTTTATAATAAGTAAATCACTCTAAATAGCATAACATTTTAGTATTTCACAATCGATATAATAAGACTTAAGAGTTTATTTAATTTATTAATTTCTATTATAGAAGTTTAAAAAATGAAAGAATTTTTTCATCAAAATTAACATTTTAATTTTAAGTAGGTTATAAAGAATAAGACATTTTTATTAAAAAAAAATATACGACACGATGACACCAATTAGTTTGTCAATATTTAATTTATTAAGTAATGATAAATAAAAATAAAAATTGTAAATTTAATATATTTTTTAGTTTTGACTTTTATATCTAACATATTATTTGATTTTTTGTTATTCTCTTTTACTTGTGCTACTCTATTAATACTTTAATTGACTTTCAACCTGGTTGCTGTATCCCACATGGATGTTATCAATGCGTTTATTGTGTAATCTGCCGGTACTATATCGACCATATTATTTAATTTGCACGGAATAGCCCTAAGAAAACCTGTTACAATTCCTGCTACAATACCCGATGGACCATTCATATTTTCTAAGTACCCAGGAAGAGGTTCTTTGTAGGAGCTCCCAACTGTAAAATTAAAAGTATTTTTAGCTCATAAGAATTACTAGTGTATACTAAAGTTTACACTTTACTAATATACTAGTTATTAATTCTCAAATTCATTTTTTATCCAAACAAAATGAATGGATAATATTTATATAATCATTAACCCACTGGCTTTTTAAAATATCACTTATTATTTTATTAAAAATATATATTCTGTTTTTTTTTTACCAATCGATGGTCGAAAAATTCCAATAGGTATAGTTTTACTGTAATTTAACACTAAATTTTCAGTTATAGCTTTTGTAAACGTGTAAGTGTTCGGCCAACAATTAAGTGCTCTGTTTAAAATTTTTTAAATTATGTAATAATCATCATAATTATTTTTAGATTTTGCAAAATCTCGTAGCCAAGGAGGTTTTAAGTTTCTAGTAATTTCCTCGAAGGATAGTTGTGCAACTTAGGTTCATATTCGGATATTACTTGGGGGTGGGGGTTGGAACTCTTAAACCTCCTTAGATATAAAATAATAAGAGAGTGAATCTTACGTTGGATCTTGATCGTTAATTTTTACGTGAGTCATTAATTCTTGTGCTGTCATTTCTGTAGGATAAAATTTTTCACCAATATTTTGTCTCGTGCAATGAGAATATGCTGTGGATACATGAATAAATCCCTAAAAATAAATTAACAAGTTTTAGTTTTAAATAAGAAGTAAAGTAAAACAAATAGCTTATTTAAAACAAATATACGTTAAAATTGCATTTATTACTTTTAAATTTTTCATTTGAGTAGCAATTTTTAACAGCTGTTCTGTTCCTCCAACGTTAATTTCAGTTGCTTTTTTAATATTTTCATCAAATTTTAATGTAGCAGCACAATGAAAAATAAAATTAGTATTATTAACTATCCAATCGAGATCATTTGACGATAAATTCAATGATTCCAATTGTAAATCACCATAAAAAATTTTTATATTTCTCGTAAAGTCAGGATTTTTTTTTCGAAGTCGATCAAACACCTTAAAAAATGTAATAGTATTATTATTTTTAGATACAATGTGCCTACATCATGAATTTTTATATTAATTCTAAAATTTTGCATAAGAACTTATTATATTAATTTACTGTTATTAAATAATAGTATTCATTATTAATTATAAAAAAATCTTAGAAACGAAAAAAAAATTGATTCGCTAAAATTGTTTGTAACAATGAGAACAATAGAAACCCGTTTCCTGACTTACTGAACACCCTGTATGTGTAATAAACTTGAATCACTTGAATCCTTAACAAGGATTTCTTTTTGGTAAATTACAATGGTCAAAAAAAATTGCAATGTCCAATATTATGAATCTTTTTTTTTTGCTCATCAATTCATTATGGAAATAAATAATGCGGTCAATAAGGGGGTCATGATGTTTGTGGCCCCTGGCTACCCAACGGACTGGTGCTCTTATAATATTTTATTATTATTATGTATGTTTCAGCTACGACGTTATTATCTCACATTAAAATTAAATTCAATATTTTTTGAGGAAGTTAATTTCACGTTTGAGGGTCGTAGCCCAAAAGCCCCAACCTAACATTTCTCAAATGATTTTTCAAAAAAATAATTTCAAATATTATAAAAGCTCAAAAACTAGTTTTTTGTCAACAAATTTATTATTCTATACTAGTATCATTAGTTTTTAAACAAATTTTGCAAATAAATTGCCTAAAAAAATGTTAAAAGTACCATGCAATTGCTGCTTTTAAAACTTATAACTTAATAAAGATGAAAATATCTATAAAATATTGAGAGTTAATATTTGAAATAGTATTTATTATTTTATATAATATATACTTAATATATATTTAGATTCATTTCAAAATTATAAAATATTAATAGTGAATTAAAAAGATTGCTGATTTTGTCGCGCAATGCCTAAATATATAATATTTGTTTCATATTTTTGATAGATAAAATATAATTATTATAAAACTAATACTAATTGTTAGTTTATATAAAAAGAAATAGGTTCAAAGACGCCATTTGAATTATTGCAAGAATGTTTTAATTAAAATTCAGGTTTACTGATTTTTAACATATGATGACCTTCGAAAAATTATAAAATACATTGGAATTCAAATAACCACATTTCGTGCATTTGATTGAATTGAATATAAAATGTGCGTCACGTGAAGTCAATTTATACACTTAAAGAGTTACTTTTTAAAATTTAATAGACACATGTTATTTAATAACATTATAATATTGTGATTTTTACTATAAAAAGTATTATGAAATAGAAATGTACATTTTTAAATTTTTTGTAGTTACATTCTTGACTGATTTGTTTGAATAATACAACAGAAACTATAGATCCTGATATTCAATGAATTCTATACATTCCCAATAGTTGGTTAAAATTAACATGTTTAATAATATCATAATTCATTTTAAAACATCTTAGTGTATTTATATATTAATATATCATACCAATTGACGGTCGGAAAATTCCTACTGGTAGTCTTTTTTTGACAAATAAATATATCATATTTCTTATTAAATAACTCATTAAATATGTTACCGTAATTGATGTATTATAAATTATAAAAGTCAAAGAATCTCAAAGAACTATAAGTTGAGATTTTTTATAAATATTTTTGACTTATTTTTTCTGAAATGACCTATTCAGATTGTGTATAATAATATAATTTTTATTTACTTTTTAAAAAAAGTATTATAATTATATTGTAATAGCTAGAAATAAACGAGTTAAAATTTTTAGCCTAACGGAGATATTTAGATTTTACGTTAAATTAATATTAACTTAATTCTCTTTTATTTAATAAAATATCAAATATACTTTTAATTTAATTTATTTAAAAATAATAATAATCCTTAACTATTACTGGTAAATTTTTTAAATTAATTTAATTTTAACTAATTAAAATAGATAATTTACTTGCCCAGCCCTGTTTACTATACCTCTGAAAAATAAAATAGGTATGATATTATTAGATATATGCTAACATTGTAATATTACCTTTCAAAAAAAAATTATTACAAAGTTAATCTATATAACTTACTTAATACATTAAATTTTAATTATATTAGCGATTTAAATCCATTAATAAAAAATATGTTAATATATTACCATAATATTTTGATTTTGATAACTATATTAATTAAATATATGAATTCTGTACTTCTTAGCATTGTAAATTAATGAATTGATTTGTATATTTATTAATTGTTTAAGAATTATCCAGCAATAAGTTTTAAAACTTAATTTTATATGTAAATTTGTAAAATTTTAAATAAATTAATAGGATTAATTAATGAATTTCTTCCGTGGAATCAAATGGAAAATTAATAAATATTTTTAATTTAAGTTTTGAATAAGGAAATTTTACCTATGTTTTCAAGGATATTATTATTATTATACACTTATATTTAAATTAATTTTTTAAATTTGTATCAAATTAGTTAGTTTTTATACAAACATTGGAATTTTCTCTAGTTCAGTACTCTTTTGATCTTTTAATAAAAATATCTCTTAAATTTTCAGTTCAACTTTATAACGATAACTCATACTAGTATAAACTCAAAATATCAATTTCACTCATATTTTTATTAATAAAATTTTCAAATTCATTAGTTAATAATACGATGTTTACAACCACTCTCTAAGTACTTACATAGGTTTATTGACTAATTAAAAAATTATAAAATTCTATTTTCAAATTTTCTTTGTAATTTCTAATTTATTATGAAGATAATTCTAATAAAATAGAGCCGATGAAAGTTTTATTTAAAATACAAGTCTGCACTATCATGCTTACTTTTTATGTCTTCATAGGATTTTAATACTTATCCTTATTGTATTTTCATAATGAAGAACATTTAAGCATCTTTTCTCATTATCTCTTAATCTATCTTTTACTCTTTAAGAAATAACTGTTTTAATCAATTCTTTTTGATAAAAATATTATTTTTTAAATAAATTTGATCAGTATTCAGTATTTATAATAGCCCAATTGTAATATTTCTAAAATTAAAAATCTCGTAAAATTAAAAAAATGTATTGTTTTTCAAAATAAATTTAACTATTGAATACATGGGACGTTACGAAATAATGAAATATGTTATCATTTATTTTTTTTCTCCAAGTCATTTTTAGTACAAAGACGTCTACATTTTAACTATATTTATAGAAAACAATTTTTACTATTCGATTATGTTTTGTTTACACTAGAAAACAATGTATGATATATAATTTAATCATCTAATAACAATTATTTTTAATTTGTGAAAAATTTGTCGGCTGTTTGTTAATTATATATTGGTTGATTTTAGCTTAGATTTTCTAGTTCAAAATAGATTATTATTGAGTATATTATGATCTATAATAATAAATACTAAATAATATCAAAGCTTTATTAAAAATTAAAAATATAAATGTCAACATGAATTTTAAAAATTTTGAATAGTTGAGATGCGGCATTGTAGACTTAAAAATAAATTAAAATTTAAAAGTAATTTACAGTATAAAACGGTTTGATATGATTGTTTATTAAGTAAAACTAAAATATATTAGGAAATATTTTATAAATTTAAATTTTGGTCAAGGAAAGAAATCATTATGAATAATGTTATAATTAAAATGTTAAAAACAAAAAAAATTACCAAAACACAATTAAAAAATAAACAAAACTATTAATGAATAAAATTGAATACTATTTTAAAATCTAAAATGTTAAAAATAAAAATTCTAAAACATTAAAATGTTGAATAATGTTATAAATTAGTAACACAATTATAATTATACGTTATAATATATTTAATTGTTAAATAACAATTTTTTTAATCCTACCGTTTACTTTGACTGATTTTTACTTAAAAAGAAACAATTAATAATAATTCATATTAATAGAGTAATTGTATACACTATTACTGACAAAAATTTTATTGAAATGTTATAGCCGAATGAAAAAATTGACATATTTAAAAGAAATATCACAATTTTTCACTTTAACGACCAATTACTATTAATTTATTCTATTACTATTTATATTCTAAAAGACATTTCTCAAAGTACATTGTATTAACTTAACTGCCATAGATTTAAAGGACATAGATTTTTGACACATTATTAAAAAATGAAAAAAAAAGCTTCATAATATGTTTAAGTCTTCTCCCAGTACAAAAAAAAAATATGTTATTAGCAAAATTAATGTCTAAAATATTGTCAATAAAATTTTTTTTTTGTATTTAAAGAGATATTTTTAGTTTTCAATATAAATTGAAAACTTAATGTCATCTTTTATAACAATTATAATTTTTCTTTATTATGGTAATGAAGGAAGTTTTTCTAAATAATGGTAATAATAGTTTTAACTAAATACAATTTCTGATTTTTCGACATGTCTTTGTAAAAAATTGGTTAGTAGGAACGAAGTATTTTTATGATAGTAAAAGCGCAAATTGGGGAGTCTTGAAACAAAATTTTGTTAAAATTGTACCCACGATGAACTGATACAAAAAAAAACGACATTGTAATGCTGATACCTTTTCAGCTACCCATCGAAGCTAAAAAAAATTAGTGCATAAATATATATATATGTGTAGTAAGGAAACTGGTATCTATTATTTTCATGTTTTTAAAAACTGACTTGTTTCCTTACTGAACACCTTGTATATATACATATGTATTAATTTTTTTCATTTGTTATTAGAAATAATGTTATTCCGCGATAGTAAAATTAGTATTTAAAGATTTTAACGGAAAACTTTAAAAATAAAAAACTGTTTCACAATACTGACATTAAATTTCATAGTATCAATTAATTATTTTTCGTATTATTTATCAAAAAACTTACTGTTCCATTGAAGATTTTAACTGCTCTTTCTTCTGCACTTAAGTTCTTATTATTTCTTATAATCACAACAATATTTTTTATTTTAGGACATGATGTCAATAATTTTTCTGTTAACAATTTACCTAAAAATCCTGTACACCCAGTGATTAAAATTGTGCTATCATTGAATGTATCAATAATGTTTGATGTCATCGTATAATCTTACACTTGTTACACTTCAGCTTCACAGTAGATATGAACTGAACGAATTATGTATTTTTAATGGCAAGCAAATCTTTCAAGGGGAGTCAGTTTAAGGAACCATCACCCACTCCTTATTTCTATTCGTTACTTACAATTTTTAATCATTTCTGTAAAATTGTAATAAAACTATTGAAAATTTATAATTTTCATTGTATTACATGATATAAATAATAATATAATATATAATAATACATAATACATAATCGTGTGATTGTGCCAAGTGGAAGTGTAGGATAAAGGTGACCGACCCCAAGTAGTTGGGATTAAAGCGAGGAAAAAGACGAAGAAGAATACAAAATATTTACTAAACATAAATGTTTCTTAATAATAAATGGACGAAAATTTGATAGTAAATAAATATAATTGAAACGAAAAAAGAAAACATATTTTAAAGTGTATAAATTTAAAATAATAACATAAAAATTCTCTGATGGTATTGATGTATAGAAAAAAATATTTTTTCTACTTGAATTTATTTACACATACATCTTATGTTCATTCTTAAATTCAACTTATAACATAATAAGAGGAAATCCGATAATATTATAATTATTTGTCTAATCAATAATAACAAGTAGTGCATTTATATAATGTATAAATGCATATTATGTGAATTGTAATGTATCGTTTTGTTTATTGAAAAATAAACTTTGTATGGAATTTATTGTTAAATGACTCAAATTGAACAACATTGGCGTAAGTTCAATTTAAATTTATAAATAGAAAACTAATTTGCCGTCACTGTGATTCGCAAGAACCTGAAAAATTGTAACCATTAAGCCCTTTAAAAGTTATTTTTTAACTTAAAATTATATTTTTGTCAACGTAGTTACTTTTCTGTCTTACTCATCAATCTTTTTTATGAGGTCCAAAGTTATTGTGTGTTGGATACACATCGGTCAAATGTGCTGTCGAGAAATTGTGTTTTGATTATTTAAGCTATCGTTTTGCTACACCAAATTATTGACGGTCTTCTCTCTACGTCTACATTGCCGCCGCCATCTTAGCTCTTTTTAGGCTCTATGGTGCTTGTGAGTCACTATTAGTTTTGTATTCGTTTTGTTATAAAAGTAAATTATCACCTTTGCGATTGTAGCACACGATTGTGTGCTCAGTATATCGTCATTGGGTCTTAATATTTTTTGAGATACACCACAGTACCGTTCAAAGCATATTGTACATGTTGGTCAGCTACTTACATTCGACTTCAATTGACCCTTTCAATATTCAACATTATCAAAAGCCCTTTCAATTAGCCGATAAGTATAGTGCTTGTTCATCTTCTTTCTAAGACTTGCTCACATTTATAATTTATTATTTGTTTATATCAACACCACTGTGGCATTAGTATTAAGTATTCCCCCATCACCACCATTGGTGTATATAAGATTTTATGATTCATGTATAATACATTTAATTGTTATAATTATATACTGTTAATTTCATTCTACATACATTCATACAGACCACTGTCCTTATTCCTTATCCACTTAAAAAATAAAACCACGAACGTTAACGAAACCGCGTGAATACCATCGGGCGCTACGTTCTTTCATTGTGAATCCTTAAAAAAATAACAAGTTGTCTGGTTCAAATTGGTTATTTGGTTTTTCTATATAATTATTTGTGTGAAATGCAATTGGCTATGAGCTATTATTGAACGATTTAATCATTAATTTCAAAATAGTGCTTTGTTCATTAGACCTATTTAAAAACACTAATCGTATTAAAAGTCATATAATAGTAATTTAGTTTTTTTTACTTTAATTGAAAAAAACTATCACTAAAATATTAAGATTCACATTTATAAAAAGAAATTCATTAAATATTTTCGAAATTAATTGAAAGTTAGTTATATATTGACAGTTTAAATAACATCTATTTCTTTCATTTTTTGACAAGTATATTTTTTAAATGATTACTAATAAACAATTACTTGAAATGTTCTCTGCAATACATTTAATTGATATAATTTAAATTTATAATACATCACTTTTATCAATTATTTTAAGTACTTAAATATCCTACAATTTATATAATTTTATAATTATTTTTTTACTTGATACACTGTAAATTGTCACAAAAATTAAATATATATATTAACTTAAATAGTACAATCTGCTTGCTATTATGATGCGTTGTGTGTAAGAATAGTAAAAAGAGCCTAGAAAGTTGCTAACTTAAATATTTATAAAAGTTATATTTTAACTAAAAATTACCATTTTTAGGCATTGATTATATCTGTTAGGTCAACGCAACCGCAAAGTCCAAGAAAATTGCCGAGTTCATGTTGGTTAAGATTTGGTTGTTTTATATAATTGATCATGTATAATAAAATTGGATGTTAGTTATGATTAAACCATTTTATAACTAATTTCAAAGTTAGTGTTTTGTTTTATTAAGCATATTAAAAAAGAAATCGTACTGAAATTCTTACCATACGTTTAAACTTAATAAATAATATTAAACACTATTAACAATAATAATAATGAAAATTCAAGTAATTATTTTTATTGGCAAGTTCTGAATAAAATGTTAACAAAAATATCTTCCAATGAGATCAATTTATATAATTTAAATTTGTTAAAGTTATTTTTTTACATTATTACAAAAACTATCGCCAAAACATTATGATACATATTTTATATATAGGAATAAATGAAATATATATAATGTAAATTATAGTACAGTAACATTATCAATTTTTATGAAGTTAGATTTGTATAAAGGGATAGTAAAAGTTATAAGAGTCAATCTCTAATTGCATACAGTTCCTTTTAAAATGTTTTTTCTTTAAACAATAATAGCATCTGTGGATTAAAAAAAATGCAATATTAATTTAATTATTTTTACTGTTATACCATTTTATTATTACAGTTGTACATAAGGATTTCCCATTATCTCTATCTCATGCGCCCAATTTGGGTATGAATCATAAACGACAAATTTCACATTTTGAGGAGATTTATAATATCGGTNTGAATCATAAACGACAAATTTCACATTTTGAGGAGTTTTATAATATCGGTTGAAACCAATTATATCTACCTAAAATAAAGTATTTTTAAACTTAGAAATTTTTAATTTTAGCGTTTTTTTTATAATTATTTGAACTAATCGATTTCATACCAAAACCACGTATGTTGTTGTTTTTTAATTATTCTAAAGGTAGCGAAATACCCTACTTTTTATTCTAAAAATACATAAAATACGTTTATATTCCAAGTATATATTTTTTGAAAAAAAAAAATTCAAAATGTCGATTACGTGATTTTACCATGAGATAGTCATATTATAATGTGCTTACTCTTTTGAACGTATAGCATTTTCCATCATATGAAATTATCCTGCCAAAGTTTTCCTTGTTTCCAAAATATCGTACAACACCTTCTTTAACCGTACGCGTTTCAATGAAAGTTCCTTCAACAGCCGATTCTTCACCCGTTTCCGTGCGATCATTTGTGTAAATTTCCTCTGGTCTAATGTCAGGAGTGCAAATACTTCGCACGTCTTCATGTAACTCCTCACAATCCTCAGTAATTACACTGTGTTCGCTGATTTCATGTCTCTCTTCTTTATTTTCCAACACACTTTCTATAGATGCTACTCCGAACTCTGTCGAACGTTCGCTAGTGCAATTTTCCTCGGGTATAATGTCAGGAGTGCAATTACTAAGCAAGTCATCTTGCAACTCCTCACACTCCTCAGGAATTACACTAAGTACACTACCTTCATAACTCTTTTGTTTATTTTCCAACACATTTACTACAGATGTTACTCTGAACTCTGTCGAACGTTCAATAATCCAATTTTCTTCTGGTGCAATTTCAGGAATGCATAAATTATGCACATTTTCTTGCAACTCATCAGGTGTCACGTGGAACTCGCTTCTTTCATCAATAACTTCTAATTAATAATATTTTAAATTTTATTATTAATATTGTTTAAACATTAAGTTCAATATGACATTTGTTTGACTCTCTTTTACAGTACACTTAATTTAAAAATGATTGTTATTCACTCATTTATTATAATAAAATTTATTATATTAAAGTTGAAATATTATCTGTATAATATAGATAAAGTATAATTTCTAATTTAATACTTTATAGATAAAAATTTAAGAATACTGTATGTTAATTTATTCAATTATTTCAATTTATAACAATAACAAATTTTCCAATTCATTAAATATGATAATGAATATACTTATATATATTAATTTAACACTTTAACCATTAATTTTGTTGATTACATTCACTAGTACAGAATCACAACCTTCAAGTATAATGTTTGTATAGTTTTATAAGACTAGATATAAAATAAGGACAAATAATTAATTGAAACTTGATTATATTGATCTGACCAGTGTTATTAATTATAATTAGCATAAATTATTTGTATTAAAAATTATTAATTTATAAATATTCATTTTAAAATTTAAATATGAGTTTCATGAATGTTGGAATCGCTAAATCTCGTATAACTTACAACATGTGAAACATTTAAGAGTAAATTATTAACTTTAGAATGAGTTTTAGTTTATATATTATTAACTAATTTAACACACAGATTTTTCAAATTTTTACTGATGAAATAAGTTGAAACAAAAAAATTAAATCAAAAGAAATTTTAACACCCTAAATTTACATAATATTGAAAAATATAAAATTTCTACTGATGAAAATTAAAGGGATTAATTTCTTTGAAAATTGGGATATGTTACTTTGAATTATCGAATCATAATCAGGATTGGATCACCAAATAAGCATTGCTCCCAGCAAACTAACAAAGTAGTGTACTTAGAGGAATTTTTTTCATTGAGGTATAGTACATTAAATATAAATTTATCACCTCTTCAAAATGCTTAAGCTTTCTTAAAAGTATGTAATAATTTAAGCCCTAAAAAATTTTAGTTTCGATGTGAAGCTGAGAAGGTATTAATTTAACTATGATGTGTTTTTTTTTGTCTGTGAACGCTCAATCTCAGCTCTCGCTAGACCGAT